GGTTGTTCTGAGTCAGGGATGTGCGGTGTGGGGGCACAGGCTCAGGGTTGCCAAGGGGCTGGTAGAACTGGGGAGGCAGTGAGGAGCCCGACAGTGAGAACACTGGTTGGGGCAGGGAGGCCATGGCCCAGCGACTTACAGACAGGGAAGAGAGTAGCAATTGTACGTGGGTGGGGGTCTCTTTCAACCACAGAGTCTGAACACTTGGGGACCTAGCCCAGCCCTCCTTTCCTCCAGCAGGCATCACCCGTCCCCCTTCCTGGAAGCTGGGCAGAGTAGCCTCAGGGTCCACCCTTGCACAGGTATCTCAGGAGGAAGTTGAGCACCTGGGGGAGAGGAAGGGGCTCCAAGGAGGGAGTGGGTGCCTGGGTAGGGAGAGGGGATGCTGGGGAGAGGAGGGGGTGCTGGGGGAAGGAAGGGAGTGTCTGGAGAAGGGAGCTCCTGGGTGGGAGAGGAATCTAGGGGAGAGTAGGGGGCCAGGGGAGAGCTGAGCAGGGAAGAGAGGGCGCATTGTGAGAGGAGAGCAGTGTGGAGGGGGCACCTGGGGAAAGGAAGGGCACTGGGGGTGGCATGGGGGGATAGGGGTATCAGAGGAGGAATTGGGCATCTGGGAGAGAAAAGGGGCCTCGGTGGAGGGACAGCCCTCAGGGGGAAGAAGGGGACTTTCCTGTACAGGGAGAGGACACAGGGCAGGGGCCCCCACTAAGGGTAGGTGATGGAAGGCAGTGTCCTGGGGGAAAGGGGACATCTGTGGGTGGGAGGGCTTGGCAAGTTAGAGGGGCTCTCTGGAGAGGGAAGGGACCTCTGAGAGAGAAAGGGACTGCCTAAGGGAAATAGGGGATGCTAGGGGGAAGAGGGGACCCCCACCCTCTGAGCATCCCCCCAGAACCCAGTTGGAAAATGCTGAGCCCAGGTTACATGGGGATGAGTGCCTCAGGCTCTGGGATCCTGAGAGTTTGGCCCCCCAGCTGGAACTAGATATTGGGGCACCCTCCCAGCCCCTCAGGCATGAGACTGTCCCCACCCGGTGAAATCAACCCAGTCCCAACTTTCTGGCCACTAGTTTGACTTTTCCTGTCGCACATGGTGACCACTGTGCACGTCCAGCCAGCCTTCCTGTCTGTCACTCTGTTGTATGATCTACAGCTCAGGGTTGGTGCCTCTGCTCACTGCCTGCTTGTGCCCTGGTCACTTGAGACCACCTTTGCATGGTCACCGTGTCACTGTCATACCAACAGGCCATCAACTACAACAGCAGCTCTGGGTACAGTTAGAGCTCATGGTGACTTCCCTCCATCCACTTGCCCTCAGTCCAGTCGCAGGGCACAGGTTTCATTCATTCAACAGCTATTTGCTGAGTACCTGCTGGGTGTCAGGCAGCTGGGAGCCGACAGTCAATAAGACAAGCCCCTGGCCTCAGGAATCCATACCTAGGGGTCCCAGGCTTCAGTAAAAGCTGGCCCCTCCCCCTCCCCCCACACACCGCTAGGGCCACCGTGGCCCTCTTTGAGATGCTGGGTGTTTCCCAGGGCACTGTGAGCTCACCAGCGCCCCAGTCCTGCCCTTGGGGACCTGCTTTGTTTCACCTGTCAGGCCATGCCTCTGCTTCTGCAACTCTGTATCTCTGCTCCTCCGGTTTCCCCTGGTCACGCAGGGTCAGCAGAGCCAAGGGTGTTCGTCCTGTCCCGCTGATAAGACGGCAGAGCGGGGAGGGGAGGGGAGTTAACACTGAGCCAGGGCCACTAGGAAGGAGGAATTCAGAAAGGAGTGACTTCTGGGTCTGGTGAGCAAAGCAGCATAAAGAAGAAAAGGTGCAGCTAGCAGAATTTAGGTTAGATGTAGAAAGGACTTCCCCAGATGAAGGAATGAGCAGACCTCACACAGAGGTTTCTGGAAGAGCGGTGCAGAGAAGCCTTGGGTAGTCGAGTCACCTGCGGAGATGTAACAGACTGAGGGCCTCGTTCCCGCCCAGGTACCTCTCATTCCACGCTTCTCTCTCCTGTGCTCGCTCGGAAGCACGGAGCACAGGCTCAGGGGACCGAAGTCGCTGTCCGCAGAGCCCGTGTCTGTTTGCCGTCTGTGTGTGTGTGTGACACGTTCGGGTCCATTTCCAGGATTAAGAGCGCTCGTGCCTGACTCGCCCGGCCCGCTCACGTCGGCTAAGCCTGCCGCCTGCCACGGTCTTCAGAGACGGTCCTGTGTGCAGAGTCTGTCCCGAGTTTGCAGAACGTTTGTCTTGTCTGCAGAGCCTGTGTCTGTCCTGATCCTATTTTCAGATTCTTTTTGCAGAACCTGGGTCTTTTTAGACAGCCCGTCCCTGTTTCCCTGCGTATGTGACTGGCTTGGCTGCAGAAAGCTGCCCTGCGTGTACAGCCTTTCCCTGTCCATCCCACGTCTTTCTGCCTAAAGATGCTTTTCCTGTTCGCAAAGCTCTGCCTATGTACCTGCCCCTGTCAGAAGAACCTGTTTCCTCTGCAGTAAGTGTCTGTCCCCAGATAATGTCCCTCTTTGCGGTCCGATCCTATTTCAAAGCCTGATTCTGTCTGCAGAACCTGAGCCCTGTTTGTCCCATCTATGACATTTTTCAAGGCCTCTGCCTAGATTTCCCTGGATAGAAACTATGTCTGCCTGCAGGACCTATTCCTATGAAGAGCTTATCACTGTCAGGATCGTTGTGTCCATCTGGGAGCACCTGTGACTTTCTGCAGAGCACATCCCAGTTCACAGAACCTGTGCCGCCTGCACACTTTATTCCCAATTCCCCATGTACCTGTTAGCAGGACCTGTCCTTGTTTACAGAGCTTTCTCTCTCTCCAGAACTCATCCTTTTATAGAAAGCCTGTGCCTGTTTGCGGAGCCCGGGCTCTCTGCAGGACCCAGCCCTGTTTCAAGATCTGGCCCATGTCTGGGGCATCTGTGCTTGACCACAAAGCTCATTTTCCTGCCAGCTGCTTTCAGCAAACCCTGCCGTCTCTGAAGAAACTTTCGCTGATAACAGAGCCTGTCTGTTTGCAGAGCCTGTGTGGGCTTACACACCCTCTCCCTCTCTGCAAAGCCTGTCTCTAGAGGCCTTTGTCTTTTTTCAAAGCCTGGGTCTCATTGTCAAGTTTATGAATGTTTGCCCAGCCCGCTCCCACCTCCCTGGAGTCCGGCTTCCAGTCTGCCTCCCGATGCTGTCCCTGCGTTCAGAGCCTGGCCATGCCTAGAGAGCCTTTGCCTCTTTTAAGAGCCTGCTTTGGCGAGTGTGGTTCAGTTGGTTCGGTGTCCCATGCACCAGGAGGTTGCCAGTTCAATTCCTGGTCAAGGGCACATGCCCAGGTTGCGGATGTGCTGGAGGCAGCCAATTTATGTTGCGCTCTCACATTGATGTTTCTCTCTCTCTCTCCCCCTCTCCCTTCCTCTCTAAAAATCAATAAGCTATTCTTTTTAAAAAAAAAAAAAAAAGCCTGCTTTGGTCTGGGAGGTATTTCTCTGACTGAAGATGCTGTGCCTGTTTGCAGACCTTAACTATCCATCTCCCTGCCCATCTCTGCAGAGTCTGTTCCTTAAGCAAAGTCTACCCTCTTGTCTTAAGGGTTTGTCCCGGACCGCATTCGAAAAGCCCTTCCCAGCTGCAAAGCTCCTCCATACCTGCAGAACCTGTGACTGTCTGCAGGGTCTTTTTCAGCATCCACAGCTTTGCTTGTTTGCAGCCTGTCTGAATTTCCCTCTGCAGAGGCTGTCCTTAAACACACAGACTGTCCCTGGCTACAGACCTCACTGTCATTAGGAGAACCTGTGCCCGTTGTATCCTGTTCTGTCTGAGGAAGCGGTCATCCCTGTTTGCAGAAACTGTGCTTGTGCGCCAAGCCTTTTTCTATGCACACAGCCTCTCCCTCGCTGCAGGTGCTGTCTCTCTGCATTGCCCGTTCCTAATGGTCCACAAAACCTATGCCTATTTGCAGCTCTGTCCATGTGTGCAGAGCTGTCTGTGTCTACAAGATTCAGCCTTGTTTCAAGAGCCTGTTGCTGTTTGCAGAGCCTGTCCCTGCCCGCAGAATCTGTGCTTACTAGCTGAGCCGTGGCCCGTCTGCATAACCTACCACTGTCCACTGTGACTGTCCTGACTGCAGATCCTCTGTCTGTCTGCACAGCCTGTTTCTAACTCTGTCTGTCTACAGAGGTCATCCCTATGTTCAAAGCCTATCCCTGTCCACAGAGCTCAGTCCTGTTTCAAGAATATAACCATGGATGACAAACCAAGTCCCTGTTTGCAAAGCCTCTCTGTGCCTGCCCTGGTTTGCTGGCGTTTGGGTGTCCCTAGAGCCCTACTAATGGAAGGCACGCTATGTGAAGGAGCTTTGGAGAGCCGTAGGCAGGGAGATTCCTTGCTTGGAGGCCAGGGTCTGAGAACTCTGGCTCTTGTTTCCTTCCTCACTCCTGCCTGACCCAGGATGGACATTGAAGACATCCCCGACATCGAGAGCCATAGGGCCCTCAACATATGGATCATTGAGGTGAGGGGCACGGCTAGACAGCCGTGTCAGTGCCACAGAAAGGGTGTGATCTCTGGAACTAGGCTTCTCCTGGGCATCAACTCAGAGTCGCCCCTGGCCCCAGAGGGCCATGG